ATTCTTCCTAACTTGCAATATCTTGCTCTATTAGGACTCAGTTTATTGCACACTATAAATTATTTGAAGAGTCTATATGTAATGAAAATGCATGTAGATATTTAATGCTATCCTTCATTTCTTCCACAGGTCCTGCTGCATCCTTCATCCTCCCCAAGAAGCATAACACTGATACCACTTCCAGAACAGCTGGCCAGCAGCACTTCAGTGTTCTCAGTATTCTTTAACTCTTAATGTGAGAACTGTGTGGGACAGGCTGGCTGATGTTGCCTTCTGGCAGTAGAATGACCCAATGAAATGCTGGCCACGGCTCCTGACACTGTTCTCACACACACAGGACTTGATCTGTCTGCAGCTGATGAGCAGATAGAACAGAGCTGTTCTGTCAGACTGCTTTGTACTGGCAACCACTCTGGTCCCTCTCCTCAGGCTGCAAAGCTTTGAAACTGACTTGTGGGCACTCAGGGTTATCAGGACAGTTGCCAGGTAGCAGTTAGCTGCTGTTTGAAGGACAGAGAACCACTCAGCATCACAGAAGTAACAGAAGAGTTGGCGTTTTTTAAACAGCGACCATTCTGCCCAACTGTTTTTCTTTCCTATAAATATAGGAATATTACATATAAAAGGAAGATCAATACTTACTTTCTCTGCATGAAAGTCAGGGCCAGCATTTTGAAAACAGGGTCCTGAATGCTACAGAACAGTAATCCTTAAAAGTAATGGGTTAATATTTAAGGGGTCTGAATTTTAGTGATGCAATTTCATGCCAACATTCAATCACAGTGCCAGGCTGCCCAGTGCTTTGGAGAAACGAATACAGGTATCTTATTTTCAGAAGCTAAGTGTGCCCTAGGAAAATGAGGCAACAGAAGAATAACTCCTTGGGGACAGCACAGCAGCTGGCCCAAGCCAAAACTCACTGCTGCTTGTGGAGGGATTTCAGCCAGTCCAAGACACTTCAAGGCTGTCCCCTGAACATGAAGGATGGATGCAACTACTTCTGTCACTGGCTGTCCGTGGCAGGAAGATACAGCAGCCACAGCAGGCCTTTCAGCCAGCTCCCAAACACCCCAGGTACTGGCAGGGGGTTTCTTCAATGGCACCTTAATCTTGTTCTTTTAAAAAACAAACTGCCTTCAGAACAGGCTAGCACCAGTTATTACATTCATCTTGATACAGCCACAGTGATGGGCACCACAAATTTGGGAATGTACAGAACTCAGTAACAATCAGAAATGCTGAACACAAGTAATTTATCCAGAGACCAACATACGACTAAATGTCCAACACAGAAAAGAGCAAAAATGCCCTCTGCAGTATGGAGCTCTCTCTTACAGACAGCATGAATTCAGCATCCAAAAACTAAGGTAGGCAGCTATTGCTGAGTAATCCCATTCAGTAACTCAAGAACTGTAAGACAAACCAGAAATAATGACCCACATCGGTCCTACAGCCCCTGTTTAATGAAGGAAGACTTCTCCTTACACAAATTATTTTTTGTCTGAAGAATATATTGCTTCCTCCCTATTGCTCTGAGGTTACTCAGCAGTTTATAGTACCTGCAACATGGAGGATTTTATTGCTGTTATACTAAAACCTTATTGCTGGAGTTCTCACTGTTTGGAGAAACGGTTAAAATAATACAATTAAAATACAGGCTTTGAGGTTGAATGGATGACTAAAACTACTACAGCAAATTTAACTTCAGGTCAGATACATTAATAAATAAAAAAGAACTTTAAATCTTGAAAATTGACATTATGATGAAACTACTTCACTGTACCCAGCACGGTGAATCCTGATGCACAGGTGTGCTTCAGTGGGACAAAAACAATGACATTCCTGCAAGCTGTCCAGCTTTCTGTCAGTTTCAGAGGTAATCTTCGCATGGATACTGGCACCAGACCCTAATGATCTGGGGCCTACACTGTTACTGCCTACACACCGTAACATAAAAGCAGTAAAATACTTAATTTCACAGTCTGAAAAGCAGCTGTCTTTCATGCATTTCTTCTTATGGAAGTGAGGTAGGTGGCTTCGTACCCACAGCCCAAGAACTCATTCAGAGGTGCATTCAATAGCATCTCACTACTACCGTAAACCGTGCTAGAGCTCAATCTGACAGCTATGGACAAACCAAGGTCACTGACTTCCAGAAGGATTTTCTGGCCTATGCTGCCAGAATGTCTCAACTTCAGACCACTTCTCAAAGAGCCAGCACCCTCACTGGCATCACAGCAGTAGCTCAGGAGGCAAAATCATGTTTCTCACCTGTCTGTGGTGAAAGGTAAACGAGTTACTCATCAAATGAGGGCAAATCATGCCCCTGTGAGCCGTTGTTTGTTTTTTTTTGGTAACTTCTATAATTAATCCTTCTCTCCTCTTTTTGACTTGAATCATTCCTGAGGAGAGGAGCTTCCAATCACAGATCTCTGCTCTGGCACAGGGAAAAGGCCGGCTCTCCTGACAGCATTAAACGCCATGGAGGACTTAAGCAGCCTGTGGAGTGAGGAAGATGACAAGGAGCAGTGTGAAAGAGGGGATGACATGATTTCCCTCTGTGCTGTTGTTTTTTGTTTGTTTTTTTTTTTCTAACTTCCCTGCCACCCAGGTGTTGCAGAGAGAAAAACACTCGTGCCTGCAAGGCAGTGTGAGGAGATGAGAACAGGTCTGCTTAAACAGCAGAACGGCTGCCCTAGGGACTGAATTACGGTCACAGTTGTAGCTGCTCATCCTCACCACACTTCCTCAGCAGTTTGATTCAGAGGAGCAAAAAGAAATAGAAAACAGCAAAAGGAGGGGGCTAGATGTATCGCTTTAGTGTATCTCAGCTGTCATCTTAAGAAGTGCCACTCTATATTATTCAGCTGCTCTACATTATTCAGTTCATGCCTTCTACGCCCATTTAATCTCAGTACTTTGCATACTTGCAAAACTGCACTCATACACAGTGTGGGTATTTATGACCTGATTATTTCTTCTACAAAAATCTGTAACAAAAAAGGAACCTGACAATGACTGGAGCATCATAAGCATTCCTAAGCAGATAAAGAACACCAACACCCTACACAGAGTAGGGACCACATCCTAACTGTGTTGAGAATCCGTAAATGGCAGTGAAGCCAAGGGAGCTGCGAGTTCACAGCTCTACAGACCATGCCACAATTACCAAACTAATCAGCTTACAAAGAAAGAGCCAAATATCGTGAAGGTTGAAGCAGGTAGATAATGGAATTTGAACCCAGCATTGCAACTCAATTATTGCTCATAAAACCTCTACAGAGCCTTGTTTGTAGACAATTCATTCACATTTGAGATTCAGCACTGCGTACAGCATATGATTCTTAACATCACAGAAAGCTACAGTCATCCAAACATCCATGTGAAAAGGACAGGTTCCATTTGGAAAAATCCAGACCAGCAACACAGTTGTCTCTACTATTTATACTACACAGGTATATTATTTCATTGAACTGTAAATATTGCTGATTTTACACTCGAGATTTTTTGTTTTAACTGCAATTGAAGACACTGAAGCAACAATACAGTATGCCGACTGCGACATTCAAGGGAACATAACCTCCTACTGATGTCAGGGCATTAACACACGGAGCTCCCATTAACGCCAGTGCAAGGAGCTCCCATTAACTCCTATGCACTGACACTGGAATAGACAATGAACTTCATAAATCTCCCAGAAAGATTTCCTCTCTGACAATCAAGTCTTGAAATTAGAAAGCAATGTTTTATTTCTATTGCTTTCTAATGTGGCTCCAGTAAAAGGTAAGAAATAGCTTTTAAACTTAACCATTCATGAGAGGGAGCTCTGCTTTTTAGACCAGAACTATCATCTTATAATGAAGAGAACGGACATGCATACAGCGAGAAGAACCCCAATCTGTAACGGACAAAACTGCCAGAAAGGGAGACAATTTTGATTCAAGTTGCAGTTCTGGTTGCATATAATTATGAACCAGGTACGCTCCGAGAACTTATAAATTTCTACATTTTAAATTACAGCAGAATAGTGAAAACATGTGGCAATCGTTTTGACTTAGTAACAAACTTTCATGTAGATCCAAAATATTAGGTTATTCCATTTGATATTTCACTACAGAAAGACAAAACTTGTCTGAGACACATCAAAGTGTTGCATCTGTTACAAATGCAGCCAGAAGAGACCATGTTGATTCATCAACTTCAAAACTCCCCAGTGAGTTCTTTTAAAGTTAATAATATAATGAGGCCTGATGTCCCACACTTAAGAGAAAACATCGGCCTGACTTCTGAGTAAGAAGGCAAAGCCCATCTTCTGTTTCAATATCCAGCCAGAACTCGGTAGAGAAGTGGAACTCTATAAAAATAATGAGCAACTTAATTCATGCAGAGATGTAAAATAAAAGCTATGCAAGTACTTCCTCACTCACAGCAAATTCATTGCACTGAGATTATCACAATAAATACTAGATAAATCAGTACAATTGGCCATTATTTTGAAGAGCATTCTCATGATATAAAAATGGGTTTGTGGGAACAGGGCAGTGGTTTTTTCCTTCTTTTATTTTTTTTTCCTACTGTTTTAATAAGAATTAAGAGGGGAAACATATCCTGACAACAGACTGTAACATGCAGTATGGCTGAACTCAATCACATAAACAATTTCAAATGAGGTATGCTGTTTAAATCCATTTTTAATTAGCAAACTTAATGTAAAATCATGGCAAGCATGGCAAAGTCTAGATAATATATTTATAACAAAAAGACCCTGAGCAACATCATAAATCTGTAAGAACACCGATTATTTTGATTTTGGAAATCTCCCTTTTAAGCCATTTGCATCATTTTGGTCACTGGGGTTTGCTGTTCACAAAAGGTCAGCACGTCCTGTGGCTCTGACTGGAACCCACCACACGCCTCTTAATGAATGCATCTAAACCAAAGACACGGTCACAGGGATGGCTGGGAAGGAAGGTGTTAAGGAGCGTCCTGCTGGCCGCCAGTCAGACATCGCTGGGCGATCTCGCTCTCTGAGACAGGTTAGAAGGAATGCAGCCACAGCAGACGAGCCACAGCGCTTTCTGTATCTCCTGGTTTCTAAAAGCATATATTACAGGGTTGATGATGGAATTGTAGGTAGCAGGCAGGAGGGTGGCATAGGTATATATAGAAGGATAGGTGTAATCTGCTATTAAAGAATAGAGCGTAAAAGGCATCCAGCAAGCCGCGAAAGTCCCCAAAATAATGGCCAAAGTAGACACTCCTTTTCGGGTGGTGACATAGTGGGAAGTGGCCAGGAAATGGTGCTGCAAGGCAATCTGATGGGCATGGCGCATCACGATTTTACAGATCTGAATGTAGAGCTGCAGCATGAGGGCAAACATAAGCAAGAAGGAGACCGAGAGGACCGCCGCGTTATTTTTAGTGAGCGGTCTGATAACACTGCAGGTGGATTCATCTCTGAGGCAGTTCCAGCCCATCACAGGCAGCAGTCCGATACAGATAGCTGCTCCCCACAGCAGTACAAGCATGACATAGGTAAAAGTGACAGTCCTCTCCGAATTGTAAGTCAAAGCGTAATACAAGGAAAGGTACCGATCGACAGTGATAGCCAGCAAGCTGCCAACGGACGCGGAGAAAGAGGCAACAATGAGTCCAACCGTCACCAGTTTGGTGGCTTCCGAGCGCAGCAGGTAAGCAAACACGAAATTGACGATAAGTCCGATCCCCGCCAGGAGGTCCGCCAGCGCCAGGCTGCCTATCAGCAGGAACATGGGCGCGCGGAGGCTGGGGTTATGGAAAATGATAAGCACCACCACGGCATTCTCGCAGGAGATGAGGGTCCCCGAGGTGCACAGGACAATGTCCCAGGGGTTCACCCAGAGCTCTGGCTCCGGCTCTACCACGGGAACCAGGGAGGAGCCCGAGGCGTTCTCGATAGAGCCGGCTTCTACGCGGTCCTGAGGCAGCCAGCTCGCATTGACCGTCGGCTCTTCATTCATTTTAACCCCGGTTCTTCAACGGAAAGACAGGGTTTTACCGCCCGCACGCAGCGCTGCAGGCAGCGCCCCGAGAGCGCAGCGCCCCGGGCGGCACCGCCTGCCGGGAGGGCTCTTGTTACATAAACGGCACCGCAGACGGAGGTGGGTACCCGGAGCACCGACCCCCGCTGAGGGAAAGGCGCCACAGCGCGACCCCCCGCCCCGCAGCGCCGCTGTGCCGCAGCCGCGGTGAGCGTTACGGGTGAGGGGGCGACGGTCCTTCCCCGACCCCCTGTGAGCAAAGCCCCGCCCGGGGTGGGGGGCTGAGGTCCTCCGAGGGCTCACAAACTCCGCGCGGGCACCGCAACCCCCAGGCAGCCCCCCCCCCCGGCACGCACACACCTGGGCTGTCCCGGAGGACGAGGCTCGCAGGGTCCCTCCTAGGCGGCCGCCCTCCACCACTCGGCGCTAGGGGCCGAGGGCGCAGCGCAGGTGCGCGCGCTCGCCCCCCCCCCCCCCCCTCTCCTGGGCGCGCAGGGGTTCGGGGGGGAAGAGGGGGGGAAAGGGGAAGGCGGCGCGCGCGCGGCCACGTGGGCTCTGCGCGGGAACGGGGGTTCGCCTCGTGCTCGCGCGCCTGCGCAGATGCCTCCTGCTGCGAGGCGGGAGGGAGCGGGTGGGGGTTCAGCGCTTGGTCGGCTATGTACGAGAGGTCTTCGTGCAGGGCTGTAACAAAGACAGCCTCCCTGTGATACAGGGAGAGCCGTGAACAGGAACAAGGATGTGACGTTGGGGGTATGGAGTAGGCAGTGAGGTGGGCTGAGAACTGGCTGACTGGCAGAACTCAGGAGGTTGCCGTCAGCGGCACAGAGTCTAGTTGGAGACCTGTAGCTGTGGGCTTTCCTTTAGGTCAGGGCAGGCTCTGTTCAACATGTAGTTGAATATGTTGTTGTTTTTGTTTGACATGTTCATCAGTGACACGCACGAAGGGATAGAGTTCACCCACAGCAGGTTTGCTGATGATACAAAGCTAGAAGGCTGTGTTGCCATTCAGCAAGACCTGGACAGACTGGAGAGTTGGGTAAAGAGGAAAAGGGCAACGAGGGCAAAGGGGGAGGAAAAACCACATGTGCCAGTACAGGTTGATGGCTGACCTGCTGAAAAGGAGCTCTGCAGAGGAGGACCTGGTGTTCTGTTGGGCAGCAGGTTGGCCATGAGCCAGCAGTGTGCCCCTGTGACCAAGTGGGATCCTGGGGTGCATTACAAAGAGTGTGGCCAGCAGGTGCAGGGATGTGGTTCTCCTCCTCTACACTGCCATGGTGAGGCCACATCAGGAGTGCTGTGTCCAGTTCTGGGCTCCCCAGTTCAAGAAAGACAGGGAACTACTGGAGAGAGTCGAATTGAGGACCACAAAGATGACTGGGGCTTAGAGCATCTCCCTTATGGGAAAAGGCTGAGAGAGCTGGGGCTGTTCAGCCTGGAGAAGAGAAGACAGAGGGGATCTCTGCTGTTCATAAATATCTGAGGAGTGAGAGTCAAATGGTTGAAGCGAGGCTCCTTTCAGTGGTATACGGTGACAGAGCAAGGGTAAATAGGCAAAAACTGGGATGCAAGAAGTTACATACAGACATGCAAAAGAACTTCTCTACTGTGAGGGTGACAGAGCACTGAAACAGGTTGCCCAGAGAAGTGGTGGAGCCTTCTTCTCTGGTGATATTCAAAACCTGTTTGAATGCTTTCCTGCTCAGCCTGTGTTAGCAGGGAACTTGCTTTAGCAGGGGTTGTACTGGATGATCTCCAGAGGTTCCTTCCAAGCCCTATGATTCTGTGTTACCTCTGGTCAGGGCACTGATGAGATTAGTATTTGAAAGCTGGATGCACTTTTTTTTTTTTTTTTTTTTTTTTTTTTTTTTGATGTACTGAGAAAGAAGAGAGAATTCAGAGAAAAGTCACAGACATGGCATTGAAGACCTGAGAAATTGCGTCATAGTGAGGGATTTATAGAAGTTACTCTTTTCAGTTTCTCTAGGAGAAAATTAAGAGATGACTGGATTAGAGCATTCTTTCACCAGGATTTTATACGCCTCTAACAGAAAAGGGTATAATGCCTGGAAGCCAGTTAGAGAAGTTCAGATTCAAAATCAAACACATTTAATAGCAAGATAATTAATCACTGGAGCAGTGCATCCAGCACAAATGATTTCCTCTTAATACCTTTTAGGAAGATGACTTTATGAAATAGAAGTTCTACGTGTGCAAATGCCAGAATAAAAACTGTGCCCCAAATTAGTAACACCTTATTTTTATTTCTTTATAGGTTATGATAGCAGGGAAAATTTTCTCTTAACTCACAGGTAAAAGACCATGATGGTCTTAGATGTCTGGAAGCTATTCCTTCTCGCTTGGGTGCCAACTGCTTTTAATAGCCATGGTTAGCATAAGGCATCCTCTGTCAGAGAACTCTATCTTACCTAATAATTGGTTCAATGTTTGGAATCTTAAAAGTATCTGACTTGGGGATATGTTTCCCTGAATGTACGTCTATTTTTATTTTTTTTAACCACTGTTTCTCTTTCCTACTTCCTTTAACAAAGCACATGTGTACATTAAATAACTATTTTGCTCCTCTTTTTTTGATTTGTCATGGTTGGATTATTCTGGAACTGGGTACAGTGCACATTGTTTATGCTTCTGTGCATCTTTCATCTATTTTTTGCTACATCTATAACAAGTGCTTTCATGCCAGTCTCCGATTACTGATTACGAGTAAAGCTTGAGATGCATGTGGTATGCAGTGAGCTTCTTCAGGCCACCACAAAATACATTAAGTTCAAAAATTACATTAAGTTCAAAGGACCACAGAGGACGTTGGTTCTGTGCTCACTTCTCAGGCTTTTTAAACCAGAAAACAAGACATACATAATAAAAATACTAAAAGGTGTATGTTATCATGGCAAAAGTTTGTACTGTGAATCATTATATTGAACATGCTTAGGTGGAAAGGCTGGCTTCCAGCTATATTTGGTTGCTCTGTTTGCTGGCAGAGTAATCTCTCAAAGCTGAAAGTGATTCAAGGTGTGTTGATAATTCTAGGTATTTAAAATGAGATAATGGGCATCCTGAGTATTAAAAGCATGGGGAATATTTCTGAGAATGTTTCTGAACGGTGTGTTCAGTTATAATAGAGGAGGTGACCAAGTTCCCTGACAGAAACCTGTCTATACTCCTACATCATATATATATGATGATTTACATTATGAAGCTTGTATCTTGGTGGAAATTGTGATGCTTAAAGGTATGTTATCACACCTGAATGCTGGAGCTGGCTACTACTGGAGGCAATATTTTCATGATTTTCTTAACCAACTATGTAACCTGTACGGTAGGCGAAAGAGAGAAACAAGAGAAGAAGATGCGTGAGCTTGCACACATTCATAATCTGAGCACTATAGACCTGAAGCTGCTATAAAGCTCACAAATGTCTTTTCAAAATTGCCCAAGTGGAGTGTACTGCAATACACAGCAGCAAAATTAGCTGTTAGGAGGTTGGATGGATGGGTGGATGGATGGATGGATGGATGGATGGATGGATGGATGGACGGACAGATGGTCCAACAAGATGCTCTCATTGTGCAGAAACATTGAAGTTATTGTTCATTGACTGCTTTCTGTGATGTGAACTAATGTCTTTCAGTGAGAGAGTTCTAACTGTCAGCTTGCTTGGTGGCCAAATAAACTGAATAGAAGGGTTTGACTTCCTCTTTTGTGTCAGAGGAAACTATATCTCAGCAATTCTTGACATCCACCATATTTTTCAAGAATTATTACCTTCATGAAAATGATGCTGCACTTTAATCCATGTTATCAAATGAAGTTAAAATGTAGTTCAGGAGGAATCCACTGGAAAGGAAACATTTGCAGCTCTGCTATGAGATAATCTCTGAATGGAAACACCTTTCCGAATTGGTGCCTCTCACGCTTCAAATATAAGGTGCTCTTTTTCTCTTCCAAAGCTCCTCAGGAAATATTTGATATTGAGAAGTATTCATCATTGGCTATTTTGAATCCCGTTTGAAGGAAGCATGTTGACAGATTTATTAAAAAAAGTAAGGAGTATTCAAATAAGTCTTACAGAGGTCAGACTTGTTGGTCCAAAGATTTCTCTTGGCCTTAAGTGCTAAGAGACTCAAAGATTTCTGAGTTTTATTTGATGTTTGTTCTGAGTGCTACTTTTATCTGCATCCACTTGGTAAATAGCTGAATATGCTTTGTAGGCTTTACTTCAGTATACCATACTTCCAGAAGTGTTCTTATTTTCTATAGAAAAGAGGTACATTCACGTAATTAATGTGACACCCCATAAAATACCATCTTCAGAACCCTCCCTGCTTCTCTGACTGCTTTTACTATATTTGGCTAGTACACACCAAATTAATACTCAAACAAAACTGTTACTGATGGCACAGTACATTAGGCAGAGCTTGGTATCAGTGACAAAAGGCCAAGCATCAGCACATGAACTTTTAATTTTTAATTACTTCCAGAATCTCTCTCAAAGGTAAAGGTGTGATGACAAGAGCTGTGTTTCCTATTGGCTCATTTCCAATCTGATGTGAAACGGCGAGTAATAGAATAAAGATCCTAATGTACTTTCCACTGATGTTCTGACCATGACGCCCTTCTGTTTGAATCCCTAGCTAAATGCACTTATTTTCCCCTTTAAAATACACTGAATTCCACCTGCCCTACGATGCTCTGAATCCACTCATTTCTGCCATCCTTTTTTATACATTAACTCTTGGCCTTCCCACCCTATCCAAACACCCACTGGTGTTTGCTGAAGAACTGCATACGCATGAAATACACTGCTGGGCTCAAGTGTTCCACTGTAATTGTACTGTTATATTGATAATGAATGACTTATGCTGAATCTCCATGCGATTGCAGAACTACTGAAACTTCAAGGGCTAGGTTTGTTGATGCGTCTTCCTTTGGAATGTCCACCTCAAATAATAAGCACTTTA